GAGGTCAATTTTTGGTGTCCCAGACAACGTAGTGGTATGGTTCGTGGTCTGGGATGTGTCCGTCTCGTGGGAGGTCCTAGAATCGGATGATTGCTCCTTCTCCTTCATGATAGCAGCGAACATAGTCTCGATAGTAGAAAATTTTGTACATACCTCGTCAAGGCCCTTCTCCATCATCTCCAAACGGTGTTCCATCCTCTCGAAACGGGTGTCCATCCTTGTCTGCATACAAGGCTTGGCAGGTCGGACCAACTTAATAGAGTGAAGGGCAATATTAACAATAGATAATGAACGTACTACCCCGAAGGGTCCTCAGGCAAGATAGCCTGCCACAAACGTCAATATTCCAGAATACCCATCTAACTCTTACCCACCAATATATATACTAAACCCTAATATTTAATAATTAAACCCTAAAGCCCATTTAAGAGCCCACTAACTTAACTAGTTACATTAACTAAATAATAAGGATAATTGGGCCTACGCCCTAGGGTCCAGTAGGAGCAGCCGCATCCCGTTTCAGCCTTCTAGAATAAACTTTCATAAATTGGTCTTTATCACAACCACTCAAGCTCCCAGTGATTCTATTCCTCCCTCACATGAAATTCACAACAGTGATTTTTATCTGCATCTAATCGTTTATAATCTCTGTTCCAGTCAATAAAATAGATGAAGTTACAAGCCTCCATCTCTACAACATATGCTGACCCAGAATAAATGACCAAAACATAAATATTACTCAGCGAGCACACTTGAACAAGGAATGTTATTTGTCAACAAGGAAACAAGGTAAACTCAAATGATTTATAGTGTAACCAAACTATATAAGTAAAACATGAACAAGAATCCCAAAGATGCACACATAAAACGCATCAACCTACCATGTGAGAATTGTGAATTTAACCCCACAACACCAACTAAGAAAACATTTAATTTTGTAGATACTGGGACCCCCTCTGTGTGGATTCTTCATCAATCCCACACTTCTTTAGCTCCAACTACAAAGTCTTAAGCCCGGTCCCACAGGAAGTCCCACAATTCTTTATTACATTTGCTACATTTTCTGAATCATAAATATGAACATATGTTATGCAGGCATTTCCCTCAACAGTTAAGATAAAAATGTGAGCTCCTTGTCCAATCCTGCTAACCTACCAGAAATGTCTGGCAGGACTCTCCCGATACAATACTATTAGGCAGCTCTCTCAAGGGATGTTCTAAACACCGAATAGAAAATTTACCCAAAAGACATCTCATTTCATCAGCGATTCTGAAAACATAGTCTTTGAAGTAATACCTAGAAGCATGCTCTTATCCATGTTACTTTCAAGCATGAAAACATAAAAAGTTCCAATGCAATGCCGCGTAAAATGTGTGTCACCATAAAAAGTGTACTTTCCACAAACCGAAGATGTTAAACTTCTATACTACCCTTTGCCCACAAGAAAACTCCTATGCAAAGATATTTTTGACTTTATGCAAAAACCTCATCATGATCAACAGCCAAAAGAAAAGAAACAGAGACGAAGAATCCGTTGCATCAATCTTCTCACACCGCTAACTGCTAGGATCTCGTTGATAGAGAAATAAAATCTTAACACGTTGATTTTCTTCCAATCAAAATTCTGCACAACTTTCAGTAGAAAAGAAACCTCCGTCCATCTATTTAGTTTTCTACTGTACTACATTCCCCATCTTCTGTACAAGATAATCCAAATAACTCAGTAAAAGATATCTTATCTTAGCAGAATAAAAAGTAGGAATATTGGATACTTGTGAGGGATTCCTAATGAATGTTCTCAAACTATACAGCGAAAATAATTGGCTCAAGAATTATGCATATGACTAGGGACAAGATGTGAATGAGCTACTCAGAACTGAACAGAACACACAAAATGAATAATTCGTAATGATCAGCAGATTTACTTAATATCTATTATGTCAAAATTATCAAATATGTTACTATGTTATGCAGATTAAGATTCTATAACCTTACGTAATATATGACCACTCATATTTTCATAAACTGTCCAAATCCACATCTCATTATCAGTTATCTGAATTCATCAAATTTTGTTATCATAAGTTAGAGACATAGAGTTGAACAAAATTTACAACTCCTAAAGTTCTCAAAAAAGTAATAAACAGCTCTTCCAGATTCACATCTCACTAATTTACATTAATATGTTAACATAGGTTAGAGTTTGATAAAATTTAGAACTCTAAAAATTCTGACAATGTAATTAACTGGTATCAGACTCAGTTTCCTACACTGCTGAAATTCCAAACTAATGAGAGTTTTATGCAATAGAGGTACATAATGTTGCCTCAAGACTTGGCTCTTGTTCCAACTGCCAAAAACAATTATTCCATTTGTTCCAGTTATAACAACAGAATAATTTCTATTAAATAAAATTCAAAGCCAAACGGAAAAGTTTGGTTGAATTGAAAGAATGCAAGCTTAAATACCTTTTTTTTTTTTCTATTATACATGGAAGAGGAAAAAATATGGATTCGTACCAGGTATGCATCCATAATGAATGGAGTCAGTTATACGAGCACTGTTGACTTGAGAGCCACCAGGGCAAATGCAATATTTTGTTCTGTAGAATTTCTTTTGATACACCAGATGTCCAGTTGCCCTATTAATTCTGTTATTTGAAATATCAAGTTCAGTGTCGTTTTCCCATACTCGTGCCAGTATGACCCTAATCTTGGAATTCCTATGTCCTGCCCAGAAGCCGAGTGTCGTCCTACGAAAAAACATTTTTATAGTCCATAGAAAATAAGAGAAATATAGGATAGCCAATGAAGAAACTCGAGAGACGTGCATAAGAAGCTAACTCAGTGGAGTAGAATGAAATTTATGAGTTTAAAATTGCAGATGATTACCTGTTTTCTACGTCATTTCCTCCGGCTGGGAGAGCAAACGGCTGAAGAATTTGAGGGAGTGCAACATCTTTGTGCGGTATAAATCCAACATCATAGCTGGGGGAGCAAACAACGCGAATTGAGTTTTTCACGAGATTTGGGACACCTTCAGTGGCTCTCACTCCTACATCATGACAAGTAACAAAGAAGTGATCTGCACCCAAAGTTCTATTCCAGTAGGGATACTTGTACATCAAGCTCTCCACATAGTTTTGGACAATTATGGTCATGTTCTCATATGATATGCCCTGCACATAATTAACAAGATTCATATACTAGAATCAATTTCTCAACTCTGAGAGGAAGGGAAACCATTGCAATGCCATTGCTACAAACAGATATGAGCATTCATAATAAGTCCATCAATCTCATTGCGTGTGATTCTATGTACATACATTGACTGTTTTAGGAAAAACACAGACGAGGTGCTACGGAAATATATTGAAGATGTGGGGGAATCACGAATGAGAAGTTGGCATGGTAACACAGCTGGTAAATAATGTCAGTGTGGTGGCGGCAACAAAGTATGCACAAAAAGGTAAACAAATTTGTTAAGAAAAATGGAGCCTAAATTATGCCGAGCAATCATCTCCAAGGTGCAGCATACATACATATTCTGGAACTTGTGTAAACGGAAACCAAACATTTCTATTCTAAACGACGACCGCGAAAACTGAATGAAACAAGAGACTAATAAAAGACATACCTTGCCTCGCATCTTATGGCAAGAGATTGGGATGAAGAACAAATCCGCCAGATCTGGATCATCCGTAACGAAGTTACTCTCCCGGAGATTCTGAAAAAAGTATCCTTCGCTGGCGTATTTTCCGGTCAGTTTTCGAGGCGTCTGGTAATAGGTATTCGGATCTCCATCTGGGTATATGT